CCTCACCACCACCACCCCCCTAGATTGGCTACACTCCCCCTGGCTCACGAACTTCCCAATTCTCGTGACAGTATAGTAGCGAGCAGCAGTCCCAGTGACATACATTTCTGTTCAAAAATGCGGCGTGCCCACCCTACTCGTATAGCACCATCAATCAATAAAATCGGTGACGAAGCATTGAAGATTGAAATACTTTGCTGTGTAAGATGGAAAATGGTATGTAGTTTACACAGCAAAGAAAAGTTTTAACACGAAACCCTATTCTCAATGATCAATACGCCTAATGACACAAAACAAACCCACTCCTCTTCGATCCACTGCTCGCTGCGTCTATCATCACTCTGAAGATCGGAAAGACAGAACTACACTGCTACAGCTTCCTTTGGAATGAAGAGCTGCTAAAACATACTGATATTTTCCCCTGCGATAACCTGTATTCCTGTATAGTGATTAAACCTGTAAATATGCAAACAAATTTTACACGAAAAGTGGACATATATTATAACCTTGGCTCTGGAGGAGGTGGACGTTCAATGCGATCAGTCCGTAAACGGGCCATTTCGGATCGTAGAACGCTTTCTGTCGATGGGTCCAAATCCCTGAAAGAAATCAAAGTTCAGAAAAAGGAGTCACGTAAAGGGTAACTAGTAAGATCAGGGGAGCTAGCACAACGTAAACTGACTGTCCTTCTAACCTTGTTTTCTTCACATTAATATTGGAAGCTATTTTTTCCAGTCGAACCTTCCCAGTTTTTTTGTCGAAGAACAGCAGGCATTCTTTAGCTTTTGCTTCCTTCTTTGATCCTTTGAACACTGTCATGTTCTCGCCATCAGTTGGTACAGCAACCTACAAATTGGCACAGCTAAATCTGAGAGAAAATATGAGCCCGCTCTCCGCATCACAACTTTTGTGCGGGAGGGTAAGGTCAGAGGTTTCGCTGATTTTCGCGAAACCTGCGACGGATCGCAAAAATTGCAAGTGCCCCATTTGAACATTTGAAACACTGAATATGAAACAAGTGGAATCATGAGCAGTCGTCATTCAGCCATCACTATCAAGCAGAAGTGGCGGCAGGATTGGAGAACACCTTGCAGTATTGATCGGGCACTTGTGATTTCCGTGACCCGTCGCGTGAATCGCGAAATCGCGAAAATCGCGAATCGCGAAAATCGCGCAAATCGCGAAAATCGCGCAAATCGCGCAAAATCGCGCAAATCGCGAAAATCGCGAAATCCGGCGAAACCTGCGACGGATCGCGGACTCTGACACCAGCCTAACTGGCCTTTTCAAAAGAAAGAAAGTAACCAATAAAACTCCATACTAAAATAGGAGCACAAAATCAAGCGCAATGCAAAAAGCACTCACATGGACATCACCATTGGCTCCGAACGCAATGTACGTATCGGAATCCGAAGACGCTACCGACATCGGTTTGAAATCATCTAGAGATCAGGATATTAAACAAGAAGAAGCGCATCTCGCGTGGCTTTTACTTCATTAATACTGCTGAAACTACTTCTCACATCGCAAGGTGTGGTAGGACGGTCCATCGTTCCGCCGCTGATCAGTGAATGTTTTTCCGAGTTCTAGCATGTACGACCCAGGAGGAATATCTTTTGTCTCGGCCATACCCTACACCTGAATCAATAACGAGTATCAAACCCTGTGACACAGATTTTAACGAAAGAAGCGGATATTTGTAAAATTTATTTAGTGATAGCATCCTAAGTATGTAACTCAAACAATAGAAACAGGACAGAAATGCGACGGTTAGGGATTGCTGAGCCATGGATGTACTACCGGAAAGTGAAGCATTCCAGCGAATGCCCGCATTTGCCCGTAAATGATCGAAATACCATTGTCACTACACAAGTAACAACTCTATCAATCAATAAAATCGGTGACGAAGCATTGAAGATTGAAATACTTTGCTGTGTAAGATGGAAAATGGTATGTAGTTTACACAGCAAAGAAAAGTTTTAACACGAAACCCTATTCTCAATGATCAATACGCCTAATGACACAAAACAAACCTCATCATCGGATCCACTGTCGCTGTCGCTATCATCACTTGAAGAGTCGGAAGAACTGCTGCTATCAGCTCCTGGGAATGAAGAGCTGCTAAAACATACGATATTTTCCCCGATAACCTGTATCCCTATATGTGATTATATGTAAATATGCAAACAAATTTTACACGAAAACTGGACATATATTATAACCTTGGCTCAGGAGGAGGTGGACGTTCAATGCGATCAGTCCGTAAACGGGCCATTTCGGATCGTAGAACGCTTTCTGTCGATGGGTCCAAATCCCTGAAAGAAATCAAAGTTCAGAAAAAGGAGTCACGGAAAGGGTAACTAGTAAGATCAGGGGAACTAGCACAACGTAAACTGACTGTCCTTCTAACCTTGTTTTCTTCACATTAATATTGGAAGCTATTTTTTCCAGTCGAACCTTCCCAGTTTTTTTGTCGAAGAACAGCAGGCATTCTTTAGCTTTTGCTTCCTTCTTTGATCCTTTGAACACTGTCATGTTCTCGCCATCAGTTGGTACAGCAACCTACAAATTGGACACAGCTAAATCTGAGAGAAAATATGAGCCCGCTCTCCGCATCACAACTTTTGTGCGGGAGGGTAAGGCTGGTGTCAGAGGTTTTCGCTGATTTTCGCGAAACCTGCGACGGATCGCAAAAATTGCAAGTGCCCCATTTGAACATTTGAAACACTGAATATGAAACAAGTGCAGTCGTCATTCAGCCATCACTATCAAGCAGAAGTGGCGGCAGGATTGGAGAACACCTTGCAGTATTGATCGGGCACTTGTGATTTCCGTGACCCGTCGCGCAAATCGCGCAAATCGCGAAAATCGCGAAAATCGCGAAAATCGCGCAAATCGCGAAAATCGCGAAAATCGCGCAAATCGCGCAAATCGCGAAAATCGCGAAATCCGGCGAAACCTGCGACGGATCGCGGACTCTGACATTAGCCTAACTGGCATTTTCAAAAGAAAGAAAGTAACCAATAAAAATCCATACTAAAATAAGAGCACAAAATCAAGCGCAATGCAAAAAAGCACTCACATGGACATCACCATTTGCTCCGAACGCAATGTACGTATCAGAATCCGAAGACGCTACCGACATCGGTTTGAAATCATCTAGAGATCAGGGTATTAAACAAGAAAAAGCGCATCTCGAGTGGCTTTTTTATTCATTAATACTGCTGAAACTACTTCTCACATCGCAAAGTGTGGTAGGACGGTCCATCGTTCCGCCGCTGATCAGTGAATGTTTTTCCGAGTTCTAGCATGTACGACCCAGGAGGAATATCTTTTGTCTCGGCCATACCCTACACCTGAATCAATAACGAGTATCAAACCCTGACACAGATTTTAACGAAAGAAGCGGATATTTGTAAAATTTATTTAGTGATAACATCCTAAGTATGTAACTCAAACAATAGAAAAGGAGAGAAATGTGACGGTTATCAATTGCTGAGCCATGAATGTATTACCGGAAAGTGAAGCATTCCAGCGAATGCCCGAATTTGCCCGTAAATGATCAAATACCATTGTCACTACACAAGTTGTCAACGCCATGCCTGACGCTAATTCTATTAGGCTCGGGTGTGGGTACTTAGGACAGAACGCGACTTTTTCGCTCTTCGCAACGCGACATCGCGCGGCAGGCTGGCGCACCCGCAGCGAAAACAACTACGGTATATAAGAACGCGCGATTGGAGCGCGATATTTGTGTCGGCTTTGATTGCGACAAGGAGTTGAAGCTTAATAGCCATGGATTTGATAATGAACGAGGAAATGGTAACCAGAAGTGGACCGCTAACTAGCAGTGAAGAGGGAGGTAGGTTATTTTTGCAGAGATGGATGGTAGAGCTTCTGGAGAACCTGGAAGAGGAATGGTTGATGGACGTTTGATGAGACGACTGTAAACTTCTGCATAGGGGTTATTTGGGGCCCTGATCATGAATATGACACTCATTTTTCACATTCGTGCTGTTTAACGCATACTTTCTGCTTTCCTAAGCTTTCTTACCTACAGCGCTTACTACTAAGCTTAGGGGGAGGGGAGTGAAACTTCTGAGTGAGTAAACCACGCACCGTGAGGCAAAAGTTGGAGTGTGTCAGACACAGGGAATGGCCTACCCACTTTGGAGCCCTACACTACTCAAAGGCTTAGTCCTATTGCGATCTAATTAGTGCGAGGGCGCAGACGAGCAGGAAGCAGGCGCCGAATAGCGCTAACAACAAATCAGGACCCCGAATAACCCCTATACAGAAGTTTACAGCGAATTTAGTGGGAATCAGTTGTGGCGCCACCCAAATGGCGCCAGCGTCAAAAATGAGTATCATATCCGTGATGAGGACAGAAGCGTTCCGTAAAAGATGTTATACCCTTATGCAGATGTCTATACAACAATATGAACCCACAAAATGCAAGCATAACGACACTACTAAACCTCGTTCACCGATAATTAGTAAAACATCCATTTGTGTGGCATCGCCCGGAATCGTGTAAGTCACAAAACGTTTTCAATAATGAGGCAGAATTAGTGATTCACCGCATCTATCATACAATGGGTGTGAGCGCGGGCAAGTTAGGAATCAGAAACTTACAAATTCACGCATGCAAAAAAGCTGCTCCAATCGCGCGTTCTTCCATACCGTAGTTGTTTTCGCTGCGGGTGCGCCAGCCTGCCGCGCGATGTCGCGTTGCGAAGAGCGAAAAAGTCGCGTTCTGTCCTAAGTACCCACACCCCGGCCGTTCAGTTTATAAAACCCGGGGTGCATATGAAGATACGACAGACACATATGGTTACTCATAAATAGTAAACTGAATTGGCCGATGTCAGACTTTGCGATTGGAGCGATTGTGCACAAATTGCAGGAGCGATGGATCGCTTGAGCGATCCATCGCTGACGAGCGACGGGAGATTTACACGGCCGAACCGAGGTAATTCCGGCGCCATCAGCTCGTAAATCTCCCGTCGCTCGCAGCTCCCTGCCACAACGGCCAAGGAGGCACATCACGGCCCGAGCGATGGATCGCTTGAGCGATCCGTCGCTCCAAAGTGCGAGCGACGGGAGATTTACGAGCGGCGCCGTGAATTATCGGTGGTCGGCGGTGTAAATCTCCCGTCGCTCCTGCAATTGGTGCACAATCGCTCCAATCGCAAAGTCTGACATCGGCCAATCTGTCCCTCCGTTGAAGCCAAGCAATGCTGACGAAACCATTCTGGCACTAAAGATGCGGATTGCTCTATTGCTAGAGGATAAAGTTAGTACCGTGCAGGTGGCAGACATTTGGATACAAAACACTTTCAAGAATTCTGAAGTAGACGTGCATTACTTCTCGGATTCTCATGGTCACACTTCTTCCACGACCACTGTAACTTAGCCTCCCCTCGTTTCAAGGCAGCCGATACTATGAATCGAATGTTTTCCGTGAGGATGCCACCTATGCCTGAATACCGTTACAACCAAATATCCTAAATTTATTCCCTTTGACAGAGTCAAAAAAACAGAGAAAAAATAACACATCAGAGCAGATTCAAAACCAAGTATATGAACGATGTTTCTCAGCGATCTTATCATATCACCACAACTAAGACTGCATGACAACGACCACCATGACCCTTCCTGCATGCATCCGAATCTTTTTGCAGGCAGAGAAATGCGAATGACAAGCTCCAACACAAAAAACAAAACCGAAAGAATCGCTACCCCAAAGAAGCGGAAATGGGTAGATCCGCGAAAAGAGTTATATACGAACCGATCAACAAAATAGGATCGATTGTTTCATCGATGTGGATGAGGCGGTGTCAACTGATTCGTCTTCGTCCACTCGGGTCACCCTTTGCAGTTCGGAGTATGGGGGTGTGTTTCACGGGTGTGGTTCACTAGGACAGAAAGCGACTTTTTCGCGTTTCGCAGCGCGAAACATTTTCCGCTGCGGGAACCTCAGGTCCACCGCTGATCATCAGTGGACCCGAGGTTCCCGCAGCAAATCATCAGTGGACCTGAGGCTCCAGCAGCGAAAAGTGTTTCGCGCTGCGAAACGCGGGAAAGTCGCTGGTGCTAAGTGAGTTTGGGGGACCACGCGGCGGCGCGGCGCTCTGTTCGTCTGCTCCTCCAAGGCTTAGTCCAAGGGGCAGTTACTATTTCGTCGCAGTTTCGAAATACGCGCCATCGGGGACTAAGCCTTGGAGGAGCAGACGAAAAAAGCGCCGCGCCGCCGCCGCGTGGCCCCGCCCCAACCCATTTATGGCGAGCACCAAGTCGCTTTCTCTCATAGAAACCACACCTGGAATAATGATTGCAGGATACACTATCGATCATGCGATTTGTGATGCGCGTCTTGCCGTTTTTGCGCGATCGGCATGCGTATCCGCAATGTATTTGCTCGCTTGAAAAACAATGCATAGATTAACGAATAACGGTAAGGGCATTGTCATGCAGTTTGCGCGGCAAAAGAGCAGGACGGGAGCACCGATGCGGACGCGAGACATGAAAGCATCCGTGCGGTCGACGGGCTGTACGGGCATGTCAGAGCTCTGCGACCGCGCGAGGATTCGCTACTACGATTTCGCGCGGACTCGGCTGGGCGTTCGCGCGTCGATGTATGGCTGTGGCCAGCGCAATTGAGTTGATTCACTGCCGCGACGGCGACCGGGCGACGAGGCGAATCGCGCGATTCGCAAAGTCTGGACAGCGGTCTTAGGCCGACGTCATACTTTGCGAATCGAGCGAATCGCTAGCGAATCGCTCGAGTCGAGCGAATCGCTAGCGAATCGCTCGAATCGCTAGCGAATCGAGCGAATCGCTAGCGAATCGCTCGAGTCGAGCGAATCGCTAGCGAATCGAACGATGCACCAGCGATTCGAACTAGGTGCCAGCGAATCGAACTAGGTACCAGCGAATCTTGCATAAAGCTTGAAACTAGGGTGTTAGGCACAGCAAAATTTCGGCAATGCTATGCAGTTTTGAGGGGGTTATTGGATCAGCAGATTCGATATTGCTGCGGCAATGCTATCTCACGAAGAGCAGCAGTATCGCCTTAAAACTTATCCAATACGAGTCATAGCGGTTATCTTTACGGGGGGGGAGAAGGGGGGGGGGGGAAAGGGGAGGGGGGGCCGAATATAACTTCATTTTTGGAGTCGTTACCATCACAATTCGATGGAAAAAGCTGTTTCGCGAATCCGCAGCGGCGTCACGTCACGTGGTGGCTTTTTACTACTTGCTCCTTCTCCCGCTAGGGTCGTAATAATGTAGTATTGTAAAGGACTACACATGAACTGGTCTAATGGTCTGTCTAAATTTTGATAAAAAGCGCTTTTTCAACCATGACTAATAATAAGATCGTGTATAGGGGTTATAGCCGCCTTCGGGGTTCTACAGAAGTTGGTCGGGTCTGTAGATAGTTGCATGTGTGCTCAAGAACTGGATGATGAAGGAAAATGAATAGTACTTTGGGCTCGTTCTTGGCTGCCTGCCCAATCTGTTAGGGAAGACTTCGTGTAGGGTATCAACAAGAGCTGAAATAGATGAATCATTAGAGCTTAGCCTTAGTAATGCAAACTATTTAGATGTTAGCGAGTGATTTGTAAAAATTCGTATTGTTTGAGGTTGTCCGCTTTACAGCAGTGTTCTTAGCTTCTACTTTTGTTATGAGAAATGTAATTTGATCTAAAAGTGTTTCTGCTGATAATTCATTTACAATATTGAAGTGTAATTCTACAGCTCAGATGAGTACGAAAAGAGGATCCTTGTAAGTTTTGCTCTGGAACTACAAACTCTAGTCGGTTATCACCTGCATGGACTTGGTAGTACAGTCGATATCCGGAAGTTGGGGCAGACGTGTCATCGGAAGTGATGTGCAATTGATAGAAGTTGGAGAGCGACTAGTTGGGAGCGTACGTAGCAAACATCCAATGGTAATAAGCATAAGACTCATGTGAAGCTTTCAAGAATTTGACGTACCCCATAAATGATTATAGTTGCGATCAGTCCCCACAATAGCTGTAAAAGTTTGAACTGTGTGAAATGGACGGTTTCCATTCAGAGGGGATGTCAGAAGGAAAACTGAGAATGTTCATGGAAGGTCTCATTAATGCAAACACAGAGAGAACATTGTAAGTTTTAAGCGTTGAACGAGTTGGCACTCGAGCGAAAAAAAAGACGGTAGGCTAATTTGGGCATTTTTCGCTACGGAAAGGACGGTTTGCTCATGATACGCAGTGGAGTTTCTGAACTACATGATAGGAACCTGAACTTGGCCGTCAAGTTTCTATTTTTTGGCGCAGATACTTGAAGGCAAACATTTCCG